GGGTGGTTTAGCAAGTTAAGCCAAGGTGTGCACAAACTGGGTGTGTCTGTATGTGTGTTTCCGCTGCCTCCGCCCATGTGAAGGGTGCTCTGGGGAGAGGTTATGTGCCTGCAGCTCATGCCCTTTGGCTTTTAGTTATTTATTTTTTTGCTTCTCTCCACTTTTGTGCACTCTTCTATCCTCGTTCTCCTCGTATTTTCTTCATTTACCTGGACCCGCTTGTAGCCTTTTATCATTTTTTTATTTCCTTTCTCTTGATTTTTTCTGGATTTGAGCAATTTGTCTGTCTCGTTCCCCTCTCTTTTTTCTTTTCTTTTTTTTCTGCCTTCTCAGTCTCCTTCTCTGTGCATGTAGCTGTCCTTATTTGGCTTCTCTCTGAGTGAGTGGGAGCGTATGAATGTGACTGTGTGTGTGTGTGTGTTTCCTCCTGACTGTGACTCACTGCTTGTCTGACTCACGAGTGCTAACAAAAACACAGTTGCCATGGGAACGCACCCCTCCACCCCTCCCCTCCATCTCTCTCTCTCTGTGCACCTCCCTGTCAGTCTCTGGTTTCTCTCTCTCCTTGCAGGCATCCCGGGCAGCCCTGGCACTGTGAAATGGTTGGCATAGTTGGGTGGGATGATTGTGGCGCTAAGGTGCATGCAAACAGGATCAAAGGACACACACACACACACACGCACACACACATGAACACACACACACTGAACAGAATATAAACTAAGGCTGGAAAAGAACAGGCTGCAAATAGGTGAAAATAACTGTTTACACTGAGGTATTACAGTGCACGAGAACAGAAAACTAGGGTGCAAGACAGGCAATCATCTATCATCAGTAGTAGGTAAAAATGCTTGCATCGACTAAACAGAAAGTGCCCACCTGTGGGTCTATTCTCTGCTTCTGTTCTCCTGCTTTTTTTTCCTTTCTTTTTTTTTACTGTTCTGAAATTGCAGAGTGCTTTGAACGGCGCCTGTCCTTTGATGTGCTGGCGTCACTGCTCGGCCTTGCCATAACCTCCAGGGAGTTTGATAATGTGCCCACGTGTAGCACTGCCTTTTCACAAAGATCAGGTAGGGCACTGGATGTACTAGCAGACTGAAGCAAGTAAGGTTTGGCCTACTTCCTGGATTCCTAAATCCTGGTTGTGCCCCCTAGTGGACGGCCCTTTATTTATTTTTTCTTTTTCATTATAAAGGGAATTTACATACACCCACAATAATATACAGTGACTGGACGCTTTATTACTGTTCAACTGCTTGTTAATGCAAATATCTAATTATATGGCAGCAACTCAATGCATTTATATGTGTATACATAGTCAGGAGGAACTGCTGAGGTTAAAATTGAGCTTCAGAATTAAGAAGATAGGTGATTTAAGTAACTTTGAATATTGGTGCCAGACAGGCTTTCTGAGTAGATCAGAAACTGTTGATCTACTGGGATTCCCCAACACAAGCATCTCTAGGGTTTAAATGGTCTAAATAAAAAAGAGAAAATATCCAGTTCCCTGGATGAAAATGCCTCGCTTATGTCATTGTTCATATCAAGCTGATAGGAAGGCAACAGTAACTCAAATAGCCACTCATCACAACTGATGTACGCAGAAGAGCATCTTTGAATGCACAACAGATGGGTTAAAGCAGCAGAAGACCAAACTAGGTGCTGCTTTTGTTGGCCAAGAACAGGAAAGTCTGGAAAGTCTGGAAAATGGTGGCTGGTCAGATGAGCCTCAAATTCTGCTGTGATTATAGAATTTGGCATAAACAGCATGAAAGCATGAATCTTGTAAAGTGGTTCAGTCTGCTGCTGGTGATATAATTGTGTGGGGAATATTTTCTTACTAAACTTTGAGTCTCTTAGTACCAATCGATCATCTTTTAAATGCCATGCTGCCATGTCAATCCCTTTAGGACCACAGTTTACCATCTTCAGATGGCTCCTTCCTGTGAACTAATGCTCCGTGTTATAAAGCTCAAGTCTCTAATTGGTTTCATGAACATGATAATGAGTTCACTGCACTCAAATGGGCTCCACAGTCACCAGATCTCAATTGAGCATCGCTGGGATGTGGTGGAATGGTCGGATCTACATTAGTAGATTAGTAGCTGGCAAATCTGCAGCTACTTTGTGACGCTACCATGTTAATATGAACCAAAATCTCTGAGAAAGGTTTCCAGCATCTTGTTGAATCTATGCTAAGAAGAATTAAGAGACTTCTGAAGGCAAAAGGGGATCCAACTGCATACATATAAAGCCAAGATTAGAGAAAAGCCAAAATGTGATTTATATTAGTTTTGTTATTTCATATACAATTAATATTCTCATGTCCCTCCAGATTTATTTTGGGGGTTCAGACCTCCAGGTTCTGAACTGTTGCAATACCCTAAAAAAAGCTATTTCTCACTAATACAAAGAGTAGTTTATCATGAACCTGTGCTTTGCTTACGTGGCAAAATAGTCATAGAAGAAGACTTTGTAGGGAATGAGTGAAGAAAGAGCGAAAACAATTACAGCCAAAGGTGGTTCTCTTCAAGGCAGACGATAGCGGTGCACACAAAAGCCTCAAATTCACCATGCACGCTCACATGTGCACGCAAGCGCACTTTTGACCTCAGTTTCACCTTTGTCAGCCCAAAGAGCTCAAAGCAGCTGGGTGGAGGAAAATTCTGACAACACGCTGAAACTGAAACTGTATGCCCACATAATCCTGGGCCACAGAAGGTCGAGTGGGTTCAGGGGGAAAGAGAGGAATGAGGAGCAAATGAGAGATACTGTGACTATAAAAAAAACACCAATAGAGAAAAGAAATGTTTCAGTGATACACCGTAGGTCAAAACAAAGCTCAAATCCATCTTAGAGAGAGTGATGGAAACACCATTGTCACACTTTATTGAAAAAAAAAAATGCAACCTGCCACATATACCGTATTCTTTTACTGTACAAACATGAGCCACAATAACAAGAGACTGCTTTGCTGATTGTCAGAACATACAGAGCGAGCCCTACAGCGCACACAGACAGACACTGAAGATGAATCACGACACTGTGTGGAAAGACTGTGGTCGTGAATGAGAACAGAAATCCACTTGCTGTCATACATTATATCAATATTGGTTGGATTATGGCATGTATAACTCCTCTCCACACACATTGTGCACCCAACGTGTGTGAGCATGTGTATGACAGCTGTCCCTGTATGTGTAATAATCCTCGGTAAGCTCCATGGCTCCCACAGTCTCTTCCACTAGATCCTCCAGAGCATCTCTGACCTCAATGTGTGCTTCTCTGACACTCCCTACAACCTACAATACACCACACAAACTGCTCAAGCTGTAGGTGAGAGTTACCATGACTCCAACGTACTGTCTTCTTGCAGTGGTCAAGCAGGGCTGTCACTTACAGAATACATACATACAGATATTTAGCTTCATATGCAAGCTATACGAATGTACTTGCATGGATCCTCGTATATTGAAAAGCTGAACATTAAATAGTTCAATGTTATGGTAAATAATCATACTTTTAGTTTTTGTATTGTGAGAGGATAGATGCCATTCTATTGTTTGTAAGTAAAATAGAAAGCTGTAGGGGGTAGCTGGCTAACTTAGCTTAGCACAAATACATTAACAGCTAGCCTAGTGATGTGCAGTCAAAGAGATAAAAACAAAAGCGTTTTGGCTCTCATCTGTTGTCCAGTTTGTCTCAAAAGCTCATTAAAAATAAAACATATCATCAAAATAGACCACACAAGTTAATTAGTGGGCTTTCTAGGTGAATTTGTTCCTTCCGGACACAGTTACTTTATATCTGGCCGAAAGCAGGTAAATGTACAGAGTTGTGCAACAGACTTGAGCCACCCTTCATTTTTTCATATCGTTTTCATAGACCCAATTTTCTTCTAATTTTCTCTCTTCTTTTGAAATTGGCTGCTTTTTCAATCATTTTCAGTCCAGTCTTTGTACCTTCTTTTTTTTTTGTTAAGCACTTAAAACTGACCTATGACTCATTCAAGCTTAAAAAAGGCATCTAACTCAAGGGATAAACCAATCTTGTATGTAGACATGACAGACAACTTAGCAAAGAACCAGTTTAAAATGATATCTTTAGACACTTTGTTACTTTCAACCTATCGAAAAAAAAAAGAAAAGAAGAAAGAAATGACAAGAAAGCTATCCGGTCGTTAAGTGATGACGTGACGAATCCTACTTCCGGGCCTAAAGTAGTCTGCGTTTAATATGGCTTTTGTGTTGTTAACATGTTTAATGTTTTGTATTTTCTTC